CTCGACTGCCGCCCTGGCCCAGGAACCTGGAGACCCTGGGCGAAGCAGGAGCCAGCCTCCTCCGTCTGCCCCAGGAGGCCCTGAGTAGGAGAGGAGTGCCCTGGGGTGGCCGAGCACCCCCAGCCCAGCAGCCTGAGACACAGCCAGTGCCCCACCTCCTCCCTGCCACCTCCTCAGATCTGCATCCAGGGAGGAGCTCAGTGCTGGTCCTGCCACCCGCCCAGGGCTGGCCTACTTACCACCTTAGTCACCAACCTCTTTGTCACACACACTCACCCACAAGACACACCCTCAACTCTCACACCCACATTCTCTCTCATAACCCTCACACAGGCACACACTCATACCCACACAACTCATACACACATCCACACACACTCACAACTCTCACATCCAGAGTCATTCTCACAGCCCTCACACACACAACTCTCACATCCAGAGTCTATCACACAACTCTCACACCTACACAACTCTCACACACTCACAACTCTCACATCCAGAGTCTTTCTCACAGCCCTCACACATAGGCACATATACCCACACAGCTCTCTCACACACAGACTCACACTCTCACACACACACACATACACTCTCATACACAATCCTCATCCCTCATTCTCTCACAACCGTTACACACTCACATCCTCACACCCACACAACTCTCACATACTCACACTCATGCACACACACACTCTTACATGTTCCCATGTTCTCACACAGGCTGGTAGGCTCACAGCCCCCTGCACTCCTGCTTCCTCACTAGGACACGCCCTGGGCTCCCCCTGTTCCCCACCGGCCCCCTGTGCACTCACTGCACAGTCGCATGCATGTGCATGCACACTTCCTGATACGCTGCCTCATGGCCTCGTGCTGAGACACTGAACACACACAACCGCACACTGGCTGAGCTCCCTCCGGCGCATGCCCCGATGCCCCGACCCACACGTTTCACCCACAAGTTCACACATCTCCACGTGCAAATCACTCACGTGCACCCTCACTCCCGAGTTTGCACTGGAATCCTCAGGCCCCTGTAGCAGGGCAATGTCTGCCTCCCTGGGGAGCCTGGGACACTGAGAGCCACCTGAGGTGACTGCAGTGGTTTCTCCCATCTCCGCAGGGCGGTATTGGGTGGAGAGGGCCTGTGACTGAGGGTATAGGACCAGCCCTCAGGAGTGAGATGGGAGAGAACTGGGGAGTCGCTCCAAACCCATGGAAGGGAGAGCTTTGTCCAGGTCAAAGCTGGCTAGGCATGGAAGTGAGCTTCCCATCACAGGAGGTATGCAAGCACGGGCCAAACCACTTTTTGATAGAGAAGGCATGGAGGGGCCTCCAGCCTGCCCTAGAGGAGATGGGGTTAGAGGGAGAGTCCTGCAGGAGCTGCCAGTCAGACACCCTGGGAGCCAGAGGTGGGGGTGGTGGAGGAGATGGGCCAGGGCAGAGGGGGCAGGAGAGGGCGGGCGGGGGCAGGTAAGGGTGGGGCCGGCCGTCCTGGAGGGTGGGGGCTGTCTCGCCGTGGCTGCCATAAGTCAGCCGGGACGGACAGTTTCCTTTCTCCTGCCTGATTTACTGCCTGCTTTGGAGGGGTGAGGCTCATTCTTTGAACTTCAAAGGGAGCAGTGAGTGCAGCCACACTGGGGTGACAGCCGGCCGAGGCTGGGGGTCCGACCCCAGTGAACCGGAGAGGCCTGGGGTCCTGGGTCTATGGACGCGCATCAAGCTTGCCAAGCCTCCCTCTTCGCATCTGTAAAATGTGGTCCTAGCCGCAGCCCCTGAGAGGAGGACAAGATTTACCTCCACGACCCGTTTCAGATGCCAGGGGCTGTGACCCCAGAAATCTGCTCTAATTTCTCAGTCTAGGAAGCTCTGTTCAGAACGGAGAGGGACCTGTCGCCTCTCCTGATTTTAGGCTTACTTACACATTTCTTCTACCCATGACCCCTTTATCATCTTCACAAAGACGGAAATGAAGGGAAGCTTTCTTATGTTTTTCTTTCCTTATTTTGCAGGTGGGTTAATTGAGGCCCGGAGACATTAGGTCCGCCTCCTAACCACACAGAGAGGCCTCTGGCCCTGTCTCTAGTCTCTGCCCGCAACGGCCCCAGGCCCGCGCACGCAGGGATGGAACCCCAAGCCCCATTCCGGCAGCCGTGGTGCCTGGGTCGGGCCTGCAGGTATGTTTTCCTTGTCCGGTGTTACAACAAACATCAGCGCAGGTGTCAGTGTTCAGATGTAGGAGGTTTCCCATACAAATTTGGGTTTCCACCTTCTCTTGAAGAATCTCACTTTGGTAGTACTGGTGTTCCCAAGCTGCTAATCTCTGGCTGGAGCTAGGGGCAGCACCCCACTAAGGAGGAGGACGTGTCCTTCCCCACCACACCCATTTTGAGCCAGGGCCTTCATTAATGTGCCACGCGTGGCCCCTAAGCTGCCTCAGTTGGTGACTGCCAACTCATCTGAACTGACCTGCTTGGACTCCCTGCTCTGTTTCTTACCTGCTGTGTGACCTTGGGCAAGTCACTTAGCTTCTCTGGGCCTTGGAGTGGACTAAAGCATGTGGTGCCTGGAACAGGCACAGCACAGGCTTCTTGGCATTTTGTCTGTGCTCAGGAGGCATTGTGGCTGACTGCTACTGAGCTCGGTGGGGACAGAGGAAGGAGAGCTCTGCCCTGACCTCCTGCATGGTGTCAGATGGAGGCAGTGGGCTGTGGGGAACAGCTCAGGCTGGGACCAGCAAGTAGAGCCCTCGGAAGTTAGACACCCAAAGAGGTGCCATTGAGGAGGGAGCCTGGGCACTGAGAGGGCTGCTGGGAGGCCAGGAATGGGGGACAGTGTGAGAATGACCCTGCCTCAAGGGGGACAAAGAGGAGCTCAGTGAGACTGCAGCTCATCTGGGAGGGGGCGAAGGGGTAGCAGGGTGGCTGGCAGAGGGCAGAGGAAGCCACCAGGGCTCTCCAATCACACAGTGGGGATGGGGACCCATGGAGGCTCTTGAGTGGGGGCACCTCTGCTCTCCAAAGTCAACAGAGATGCGAAAGGACGCAGTCACCTAGCGCCTCTCCTCAGAGGTTCCCGGGCCCTCGGACAGACCAGTGCCAGGGAAGGGCGGGTCTGGGTCTTTACGCCTGCACTGCGACCTGCCTGCCTTAGATGTGAAGCTGTCCCTGCCCAGGGGAGTCACCCAGGACTTTGGGTCTCAGCTCCACCTCCATGTGGCCCTGGCAGCTTCCCTTGCACCCCTGGAGCCTTGGTTTCCACATCCATAAAACTCAGGGATGAACCACTTGGTCTAGAAGTTTCTTTTAGTGTAGGCAAGTTCTGGCTCTTCACCTTCAAGGGTGAATGTGTTCCTTAGAGGAGGGGTGTGGACACAACTGTGCCTTTGACCCCCTGCCGGTGAGCAGGGAGCGTGCTGCCAGAGCTGAGGTTCTGTTTCTGTGTCTGGTAGGGGAGGGGTGGCAAGCACATTCTAGGGAGAGGGAACCCTCCCAATCCATCTTTTGGTGCTGCCACTAGCCAGAAATACACAAAGACAGAATATTTGTTGTGCATTTACTCTGTGCTGGGTCTTGTGTGGGGCCCCATAGAGCAGACACCTCAGGCAGAAATGCACGACCTGCCCCATGTCCCCAAATGTGGCAGCAGAGGGCCTCCCCAGCTCGCCCAGAGATGGGAGCTGGTTGTACCAGAAGGAAACCCTCAGCTGGGAATGTGTGCTGTCTTTTAGAAATGATTTGGAGGCAATAAATTTTCGGTAGCAAAGCAACCCTCAGACTTTTCATAACGCTGAAGAGTTTAGACTTGTTTCAAGGGGTAACAATTTCACCCAAGTAGTGCACCAGCTCCAACTATTTGTTATTGCAAAGGTTGATTTTTTTTTCCCCTTAAGGTGGAATCCTCAGATTTCATGCTCTGCTTTAACTTGTTTTATTTCACCTGGAACACAAATAAAAATAGCCCACAAGATGTATAGATCCCTGAGAGAAGTTTCTTTCTTCCTCCTGGTGTGGAGGGAGGATGGAGGGAGGACGCAGTGTTGAGTGTTCGTGTGTCTTGGGCCTTGCTCTGGGCGCGTGGGAGACCCTGGCAGCCTCTGGCCAGGGCTGGGTGGGGTTGTGAGGACCCTCCGACGGGCTGGATCCTCAGGACAGCTCTCCCACAGCTAAGCTATTTTACAGTGAGGAACAAAGACCTGGAGGCATCTGGCAACCTGCCCACAGTCTCACCGCTGGGCATTTTGGGAGCCAGGGTTTAAACGTAGGCCTGTGTGACTTTAAAGCTTGTGTCCATTTTGGGGCAAATCTCTTGAATCTCACTCAGCACTCACCATCGGGAGCCATGCTCACGCTCTCTCCAGCTGAAGTGGGAAGCTTGAGTGTGAACAAGATCGCAGGGAGAGGATGTTTAGCATAGTTGGTTCCAGGGCTGATTTGAAGTCTCCTTAAGCACTGTGGAAGCCCCGTTTCCATGCCAACAGCTGCTCTGTGCCACTTACCGGCATTTATATCTGCTCGCTAAAGCAGGCCCTCAAAGAATGCCACAGGGAGCACTTGGGGCTCAGAAGCAGCTCATTTGCATTCTCTTTGCATATGCAGTAATTTTTCTGGATTCTCCCAAAATGGACCAGCTGACACAGTGAATGTGTTGTCTCTAGGGCCTGACTTGACGGGATAAAAGGGTCTCAAAATTGTGCTGTTTGTTGTCAGAAGGGAGGGTCTGAGGCTGCTGAGCCTTGTCGGGGAGCAGGGGCCTGTGGCTGAGCCCTGCCTTCTGCAGGCTGCCCCAGGACAGGGCACGCAGGCGAACACAGGGCTGGGCTCAGTGGGGTGGGGAGCAGATTCTAGCTCAGTCAGCCAGAATGTTCTCCAAGCAGAACAAAAATGTCCTCTATTGAGATAGAGTTTTTTGTTTGCGAAAATCCTCAACTTTGGCGACCACCACGCGGTGCTTTATGCTACGGCGTGTTCTCCCGTGAGTGAGGCGTGGTTGTCCTATCCCACAGACGAAGAAGGGAAGTCACTTGTTTCACGGCCAGGGAAGGGCTCCAGCGAGGCATGGGCTCCGGAGGTGTGTGAAGGCCCCGAGAGGTACAGGATCTGGTGAGGTGAGCAGAGGGGAGAAGGCGTTCCAGGGTGGGGACGGAGGTGTGGAGCGGGTGTATTCGCCATCACAAAGAACCGCTAACGGGGAAGCTTAAACAACAGAAACAGTTCCGGAGCCTGGACGTCCAAGACCAAGGTGTTGGCAGGGTTGGTTTCTCCTGCAGCCTCTCTCCCTGCTTGTAGATACCGTCTTCTCCCTGGGTCCTCACATGGTCTTCTCTCTGGGCATCTGTGTTCGAATCTCCTCTTCTTATAAGAGCACCAATCAGCTTGGATTAGGGCGCACCCTAAGGACCTCATTTGACCACAATCACCTCTTTAAGGCCCTGTCTGAGATACAGCTCCCGTTCTGAGATACTGGGGTTAGGACCTCAGTATGTGGATTTTGGAGAGTGACACAATGCACCCAAAGCAGTGGAAGTGGTCATGTGGGCGTTGTTGGGAACACTGAGTGGGAAAGGAAGATGTAAGAGGGTGGGTGGGGGAGAGCTTGGTTCCGGAAGCCTGGCCTGACAAGCTGAGGATTTTGTCCTCCTGTGTGATGGACACATGCCACCGTTCCCACGGCAGGGGGTTTCAGGATGAAAAGACGTTGGAGGTAAACTAGGCTGGTGCCAGCTGGCTTGGACTGGGTTGGGGGTACCAACGGAGACAGCTGTCTTTCCAGGAGCAGCACACAGCTCAAGTGTGGGGTTTTCTTTAAACAGGCCAGTTTTCTGGGGGCTTTAGGGCCCTTTAGTCTGGGGAAAGTCAACAGTCTTGCTCAGGGTGCAAGAACAACATCTGACTCATCTCCATGTGCCCAGCCTGTCATGGCGCGGAGCCTGGCATGGAAGAGGCACTCATTGGTGTCTGTCAAAAACCCAGTGTCAGCCAGGACACTGGCTGTGAGCAGCAGGTGGCTTCTGTTGGTTATACTTCTTGTCAGCTTGAAAAAAATGTGTCTTTTAGCCTGGGCTCCCAGCTAAACACAGAGCCTGAGGCAAGGGTTTAGGACTTGGCAGTTTATTTTGAGGTGTAATCCCAAGAAGAAGGAGGATTGAGGCTAGTGAGACAGAAGCCCCCCAAGGCCAGTCCAAGGGGACATTATTGAGTCAGTCACTGCTGTGGACAATGAGGGTTCAAGCCTGCCGGGGGCCTTCTGTGGAGTGTGTCGGGTGCCTCGGGATTGTCCTCCTAGAGAGGAGGTTAAGTCCTTGTGGAGTGGGGCGTCCCTCCCCTGCCTGTACTTCTGGGTTTGCCCATGTGTCAGCGTGGCTCTGGGGGAGAGTACCCTGTCCCCTGTGGTGTCTTCAGCAGGCCTATGAGAGATTGATCATCAGGGCTGGCATGTGAGGCATTCTGGGATGATGCTATGCAGAGCTGGTTGTTGCAGCCGCAGCTGGAGGGCAAGCATGGCCCAGCACATGCGAGGTGGGGGACAGGAGGTGTCAGATACCTCTTCCAAGCTGCAAGAAGTATAATTAGTGGAAGCCACCTGTCACTCGAAGCCAACGTCCTGGCTGACATTTGGTTTTTCACAGACACTGATGGGTGCCTCTTCCACGTCAGGCTCTGTGCTGTGCCATGCTGAGCACATGGAGCTGAGTCAGATGTTATTGCATCCTGATCCCTGGACATCAGTTAAGGGGACCATTGTCATCCTCACCTAGGAGTGCTGGGAAGAGGCCTCTATGGACTACAGGGACTTGCCATTTCTGCCTGGGGTGGATATGGTGTGGATAGGGTCCCCCATATCAACTATAGATCTTAGTTACAATCGCCCAAAAGTGGCTCTGGCTTGGGCAGAGAGAAAGGTTTGGGCGGTTGTGGCAGCTGCTGCTGCTGATCTACCCCGCACCTGTTTTCCCTCCCTCCTGCCTGGCGGAGGGAAGAGCCACTCATGGAGCAGAACCCCAGAGGCTGTGAAGTCATGCTCCAGGCAGAATGGAGGCATCCTGGCAAAGAAGCATGAACCAAGGCCCCTGTGGGCACCTGCTAGACCCCAGATCTGAAATCTAGGTGCTGCCATTCTTCCTGGGCACACAGGTAGGCACATCCCTCAGGCTGACCTGCAGTTAGTGATGGAGTTCTGGCCCCGGGACTGTGGACAGAAGTAATGCCTGCCATTCTGAGGTCTGGCCCAGAAAAGGCGTCCTCCTCCTGCCGACAGTCTGTCTCCACTCACTGGCTAGACGGTGCCAGGGTGGCCTTCAGTCCACAGAGTGGAGACGCTGGTGCACAGCATGGAAGGAACCTCAGTCCTGAAGTGACTGTGAAGCTGAGCCCCTTGGACAAGCCTCGTTGAACTATAACGAGAGTGAGAAATAGACCTTCGTGGTGACGAGCTGCTGAGATTTGTTAGCTTTCTCCAACAATACAAAAACTGGTCATCTTAAATGAGCATGACCATACGAACCTGTAAGGTGCGGCACTGGCTGTGGATCAACAGTGTGGAAACTGATATTAGACGCTGTGAAAGTGGCAAAGTATTTGGAAGAACGGTTGCCTGTGATAGCTGGGAGGACCGAGCACACCAGCATTGAGCCTGTAGCTCCAGGGGAAGTGGTTGGAAGGAATTAATGGATTAGTGTGTCTTGGCTACCACGGGTTGCATTTGGCAAGATGTTACAGGAAAGAGATGAGCTCAGGAGAGTCACAGCTGGCTTGAAGCAGAAACAGAAGGGGACAGAAAGAGGGGCTTTTCGGGGTTCGAAAACCAAGCACATCTGGACCCGAAACAGTAAGAAAGAAGAGTGAGAAACACTTCAGGCTACAGTGAAGACTAGAAGAAGGATGTGACATTTCCACTCAATTACGTAGCCTCAAGATGGTCATGTTGGGAGGAAAAGGCAGGGAAGCAAAGAAGCAGGGAAAAAATTAATGGGGCTGGACAATTAAGTCTATGGGAGAACTGTGGGTGTGATCGTTGACTGACAGGCGAATAGATCAGAAAGTTAGCTATGGAGGGAATTGTACTGATAAAGAAGCAATGATCCTGGAAATAAGAAGAGTCTTTGACTGAAGCTTAAAATATCCTTGTCCACCCCCCACTATCCAGGAACAAGAAGTAGGTTCTGAAAACTCTGTGGCGTCTGAGGAGGGAACTCCACTACACAGCCACGTCAGAGAGGGCCTTGGAGGAAAATTAACAAGGAAGAGCTCATAGAGGGTGAACTGGGTGGCGGTGGGGTGTGGAGAAAATGTTATTTTATTTTTTTTTGAGATAGAGTCTCGCTCTGTTGCCAGGCTGGAGTGCAGTGGCTTGATCTTGGCTCACTGCAACCTCTGCCTCCTGGGTTCAAGTGATTTTCTTGCCTCAGACTCCCAAGTAGCTAGGATTACAGGCGCACACCACCAACCCTGGCTAGTTTTTGTATTTTCAGTAGAGGTGGGGTTTCACCGTGTATTGGCCAGGCTGGTCTCAAACTCCTGGCTACAAATGATTCGCCTGCCTCAGCCACCCGAAGTGCTGGGATTACAGGTGTGAGCCACCGTGCTCAGCTAGACAAGGAGTTTTCTAAGAGAGCAGAGCCAGAGTCTAATCAGGGGACACCCTTGGCTGCCAGGATAGGGAAACCTCTCAGTCTCTGCCCCTGTGCGATGGACCCTGTGAGATGGACCCTGCAATGGACTGCCCACTGTTGAGTGGCTGCCATTCCTTTCTCTTTGGAGTGGGAGTTTTTACTGGGGTTATCCCTGCCTCACCATCACATTCTGTGTGTGTGTGTGTGTGTGTGTGTGTGTGTGTGTGTGTATGTGTCTGTGTGCATGTGTGTGTGTAAGGGAGCAACGAACACATTTGTTCTATAGTCCACAGGTCACCAGACCATACAGTGGCTGGATGAGTTTCAGGTTGTCTCCCTTGGGGAGAGGATGAGCTTTTTCTATGTGTAGGAAGGAGGGCCTCATGGGTATGTGTTGGCAGGGGGCGGACTATGGCAGAGACTGCTAGTGGATGGCAATATTCATGTCACCTCCTTTCTTCCTGGGCACTGTGTGAGGCCGCATTCCTGGCTCCTAGCAGTTAGCTAGGGCCATGCGATTGAATTATGGCCAAAGCAATGTGGACAGAAGGGACACCATCTCCAGGCTTGGCCTCCAAAACCCTACATCATCTTCCCCATTCTCTGTTTTCATTCACCAGCTGGATGATGCCAAGGTGACCTTGATGGCCACATGTCAAAGATGGAGGTGCACAAAATGGAGGGAGCCTAGATCCCTGAATGACTGTGTGGAGCTGAGTGCCTTGGCCACCCTGCATTGGATGGTGACGTGAGTAAGAAACATTTGCTGTTTCAATCCACTGTGATCTGGTGGCTCTTTGTTGCAGGATTCACTTATTTTGACCAGTACACACTTCTCTTGGCCCCTTCCAAGCCTGGATGATCTTGAAAAGTCATGTTAATCTTCTGTGGAAAACTTGTGGCTGGTCCTGTTGCTCATAGGGCAGTCACAAACCTTTACTGCCGCCCATAGAGCTCAGCACCAGTCCTCTCCTATCTTACCAACCCTTTCTTCTCATTCTCTCCCTCTCGCTCCCTGTTCTCTGGTTATGCTGGCTTGCTTTCTTTCCTTCAAATAGCCCATGCTGTCTTCTCTCTCAGCATCTCCCTTCTGTTCCTTCTGCCTGCAACTCTCCTCTTGCACTGTGTTGTCAGGGTCACCCCTAGTATCCTTCAGATCTTAGCTCAGGGAAGATTCCCAGTATCCTCAGTTTGATTGGATTCCTACCACGTCAGTTGTGGATCTTAGTCACAATCATCCAGAAGTGGCTCTGGCTTGGGCAGAGAGAAAGGTTTGGGCAGTTGTGGCAGCTGCTGCTGCTGATCTACACTGTGTCTGTTTCCCTCCTTCCTAACAGATCCCAGTTTAGTTCAGAGGAATGATGTGTCCTTGAAGCTCCTTCTCCAGGTGCCCTACTGGCTACACGTGGCCACCAGACCCAGTTCTGTCTAGAGGGATGTGACACTCTACTTGGTGGGTTCTTAAAGGCTGTTATTTCCTAAAAAGGCTGG